ATGTTTCTGCACTCCTGAGAAGCACACAACCAGAAAATGAGAAAGTATGTATGTGAAACCTTAAGCCATTCATATTGAGCATGGCTAGCATGATAAACATGACTCTAAGGGCCTAATGCTCTTCAGCCAGGGTATATGCTAATGGTAATTGATACTACCAAAACTTCAAGCATAGAATATATGAGCTGTTGTATAAAATATCCTGCTTATAAAGAGTGATTACTCCTTATTAAGAATTCAGGCTTTCCTTCCTCCCCCCACTACAGAAAGAAATATGATGGCTATTCAGTACAGAGATAATTTTTTTTTTCTTTTTAAATTCCAATCATCACATTAGAAAATGCTTCAGAGCAAGCACCCCTTCCTGCAATTCATACAGTCTCCCTGTTTCTGACTCCCGTCCTATCAGTGTTGTATGGCATAGAAAAATTAACAACCCTTAGAGTTGTCAAAATCAAAGGCAGCTCCATCTCTTATTTGCTCTTTATTTGAAGTAATTTAAAGTCTTCGGACTTTGGCAATGATTTTAACTGTATTAGTTATCAGCTCGAATGAATATTTTGCTTTAGTGAAGACTGAGTAAAAGATGCATTAAATTTAGGCTGTTTATAATTAGTTTTCCCTTCCCGTTCAGACGAGAGAAAATCTTTCACTTGTCAACTTACAATGTCTGTAGCTATGAACTATGTTCTCATTGCTTGGCCCATTCCATAGGCGCATCTCATTTCATGTCTGCTTTCTTTTCTTAAATACCTGTGTAGTTCCACCACTCTGTGGAAAAGACAGATTGACTTTGGTCACGGGGTAGAATGTGGTGGTGCAGATGCCCTGGGCCACGTTGCGGTGTCAGGACTAGCCAACATTGTGTTCTTGTTTGGGCTACAAGTGCAATGAGTTGGGACAATCTGGTAATTCCTTGTCCTGGTTATGGCACAGTGAGTTAGGACAATAAGGCACTCTCTAAACATACCTGAAACTCCTGTTGCCTAGAACCATACCCAAAACTCCCACAGCCTGGACTGTGGCCCACCTAGGAAGGTACCAAAATTACCTGGCAAGAATTGTGGCCGGAATGGAAAATACTGACCAAAGTCAACCATCTCGTGATCCTATAAATAGCGACCCTAAGCGAGACCCTTTGAGCTCTCTGGGATCGCAGCAGGCTGTGACCCAGTATCTCCCCCTGAACTGGGACATCTCTTGGGCTAGATTTTGCAAAAACTTCCAATATCGTCCGCTGCTAGATGCTGACAGAGAAGAAGGTATCAAGGACCATCTGCTGACATATGCCGATAAAGGAGAATAGTGAGTAATTCACTACAATTAGATTTCACGAGGTTTCAAAGATCATTTGGTACCAATAATTTACTACAATTGGCAAAGAGAGAAAAATCTCGATCATAGGTTAATCTCCGTATCTCTGTGTATGCGTGATTTGATTTAAGAAACTTTGTAGTGTTGATAATGGCGATTTTTATTAAATCACTCTGATAATTGGCTGATGAGTAAGTATTTTAAAAATCATATAACCTAATCTTGTGATGTGCCTTAATAATGCTAATAAATCTTAAATTGCTCCTATCTCAAAGTTGTGTAGGATCCATAATCACTGATTTGTCCATAATCACTCATTCCCCAACAAATTGGCATAGTAACTCGGTGGGAGGTTTTCCTTACTCTTTATATTAATTCCATTAGACATAAACCATTGGCCAAGTCTAGGACTAAGTCTGGATCCAGCCGCACCTAGACTCTGAGAAGGAGTTTAGAAAGCAAGGGGATCCATTTTGAACCTTGTGACTCAAAGGAAGGGTCCCCCTTACCCTTTTGCATCTCCAGGTCTCTACGTAAATAATCCTAAATTGATTCAAACTCAATTTTCCTTTGTATGCTTTTTTCCATGTAATGACTAATAGAGTGAACCTCACCATCAAACTTTGTTAAGTCACACTTTTACAACATCATATTAAAATGACTTTTGCAAATACCTCTGATGGTGACTCTTTAAGCTATCTAAAACACTCATCTGCGGCACCTATACTGGAATTAATTTAGAGTGTATACCTAGATCTTATCCTACCACCCAATTTCTCCATAGAAATACCTGTCCATAGAGACAGGTATTTATGGGGTGTAATTCTTCCCATCATAATTTTTGTTCTCCACCTCTCAGCATGGTTCATCCTTACAGGTCAGAAATGACCATAAATGAACTTACTTCCTTGCAGTTTTCTTCACGTTCCATGCTAAAACATTTTTATCAATGTATTTCAAAAACTTGCACTGTCTGTCCACCTATTTCCCAAGAGATGCAGAGATGCCAACTACCTTTACATTCAGTACTTGGATAATTTCACTGGCTGATGAAAAAGGCTTTGTTTACCTGGTCCACCTTGCTTGGTAGTCTGCAGCGGATCCCAAATCAGACACTGTCCTTGCTGATTTCCTCTATTGCCCCAAAGACTTTTAGCAAGTCTATAAACCTGTTTCCTACAATACTGTGGACCCTTTACAAGTGTGCTAAATATTGATATATTTTTTCTGCTGTACTTCTCTACAGCAACATTGAAATAATGTGAAATAACTCTCTTTCAAAGCAATTACTTAATAGATTTTATAGTATACTTAGAGATCTACTCACACTGTCCTCCTCCTAGTTTCTGCATTAGTAACTAAAAATTCAGCAGCTTGCCTTGTTATTCCCCTTGTTGTCCTTCCTAGGGTTGTTATGGAATTACCAGTTTATCTGCTCTATCCAAATATTTTAGTCTCTGCCTAGGTACACATGCTAGAGAACCAACACTAGTCTCCCGCTACAGTGAATGGAGGGCTAATGTAATTTTGAAGCAAAAACATGGTTATATTTTGCTCATGTATTTTATCCAAAGAATCCAATAAATATCAGATTCTTGTTCCCCAACAGAGAAAGGTTTCAGATCTACATCTTATAGAAAAAAGCAACATATTCTTAACTTTATCATTTGCATTAGCATTTGAATCTCAAAACCTTGCTCCATTTGTTGCACTGTTTCCAGACTTGCATTTCAAAAAGTCAGTGGGTCTCCTACTGTGCTCAACTCCCTCCTACCTTGATTTTAAATTACAAAGGGGAGAGAGGAAAAAGAGAGAATGTCATGATTGTGGCTGTTTACAAGAAAAAAATATCAAACTGAACTCCATACCAAAAGAAAAAAAAAAAAAAGTACTTCCAAGCTCAGGATCCTCGTTTCTTTCTGTGTATAAACTACTCACTTGATTTTCATCTAAATTATGCAGGATTAATGTTAGTATCTGAAGGTACCACAACAGTTGACTAGAAGATGCTGACAGTGACAAGTTTAGGCCAACAATGAAAAGCAATTTTGTGTCAAAGTCAGCATTAAGATTGTTTACATGGCCTGCCCCCTATATCTGCCCTTTATTTCTGAATGACAGAAACAGCCTGAAGTTACAGAAGTCAGGTACTGGCAGTGCAGACTGACAGCCAGGAGTGGCAGAACAAATAATATCCTGTGGAACAATCCCCATCAACAAAAAAAAAGTATCAAATGCTTCTCATACAGCAGTATTAAAAACAGAACATAAAGAAGTTTCCAGCAAGCCTAAACAATTAGCAACCTCCTATTTCTATTTAAATGCACAGATCATGAATTTATTTCAAGTTGCAAAGGGTTTAATTATTCATTGAAGACTCTTCTGAAAGCAACCTTAGGCATGGCATTTTAAAGCCACTTATGGAGAAGATAAATGAAAACAATTAGAAGTCTTTCCAGTCCAAGTAAGTGTTTTGTAAGCTAAAATTGGAATTCTCCACCTTATTTCAGCTTTTCAGTATGTTCTTAAAAATATCCTAAAATTGGGTTACAGTGGTCAGTGAAGTACTGCACCCACAGATCAATCACAAGCGAGTTACTCCTCACTTTCAGACTTTAACCACAGTTATCCTTTAGCCCTCTTTCCCCCTTGCTCTGCTGCATCTACCCATTCAACTGTGCAACTAATGATCAGAGTCACTCCTCGTCATAGTGGCAAATAAGCTCCTGTGCCTACTACCCTTCCTGCAGACACTGTGCTTCAAAGTTGTTAATACAGCATCTGCCCCTGTGGATTTAAATCTATAATCGCATAGAACCTCATTAATGCTTTTCTCAAGTTACAGTGAAGCACGTGTGGTGCAGGATTTTGTTAAATTTATCTGTGAATGCTATTTATTTTAATGAAATAAGCTTTCCAAGATAAAATGGGAAAGTTAGTTAAACTTCTAGAAACCCTGACATCAAGGAAAGATATTTCCAAACAAATAAATGAATCACTGTTACAGAAGATTCTTGATGCTTACATTTGCCTTTAATTTAAATCTCAGAAGCAGAAGATCAGCAACATCTTTTGTGTGTGTTGGTTTATGAATCAATAAATAGAATAACAGACCTGAAAAACCACAAAAATAACACATCTTAAATAAATTCCCTTGTTGATGCTAGCTGGATTCCCATCATAGTGAACTGCACCACTCAGACCACATAAGAGCTCTGCCTGATGTGTTTGTCAGGAACTCCCTAATATTCCCATCTTACACCTTTCTTTTGTTCTTCTTACTGCAGACATCCTTACTGCTAGTCAATGTGCAAAAGGGCTGTGTCCTAAATTTAAACTTACTTACTGGAATCTAATTAAAATGCGGTTTCCCTTTTTTTTTTTTTTTTTTTCCCATTTACAATCAAAATCCTGTGTTTACTGAAATTCAGTTTTCATACCTTCTGGATTTCTACATTCCTCCTCTTTTAAATAAATCTATCCTGAACAAATTAAACACAATCTTTTCCTAGACAGGAACGCAGAGCCCATCATTTTCTGTCCATTTCTCTGCAATAAATTTTATATTTAGGTTCTGAGCCTACAGATTACAATTAAGAAACCAAGCATTTAATGGTGCAACACCTACAGGGTCGGGCTGAGGGGAATGTCAGTTTTATTATGAAGTAACTTTTCACAGCACTTACAGGTTGAAGCAGGTAAATCAGCGAGCAGTCCTGGATAACAATGACTGGAAAAGGAGTGATATTTGTTGCATGAAAAAGCGTCTCCACTGATGCCATTATTTGGTCAAAGCGTCCTCCAAGTCCGCCCAAAGTCACAATCACATCAATCTAAAAGATAAAACAAAAACAGTCACCAAGAAAACTTTCAGGCATGATCTCTAGACCCTAAACATCATCAATAAAATCACTTCTGGAAAAAAAAAAAAAAATGGAAAAAATAACTACTGACTATACAAAAGCGAATGTCAAATACAGTCATTTACTTCCATTACCAATAAATACCATTATGTGATTTTTGAGGGTGAGTATTACAGCTCAGTAAATTCATGGCAAACATGTGGTACGTTTAAAAAGGACATAACTGTTCTCCCTAAAATACAGGCCAGTCTTTGTAGGTAGTTATCTATCTGACCTGAATATATAAAGTCTAGGATATATCACTCCACATCTAAGCTCCTCGGCTAAGAGTGGTATATCTGATCCTTCGTATCCCCAGATCTTAAAATAATTTCAGTATTATCCTCACAGCTTACAGTGCAAATAACGGAAATTTCAGGTGAAGGACATTATCCGCCGCGCTCATTCCTGCCACACAGCACTTTAAGGTACAAGCAATCCCACTCAGAGGCTGGCTCCACTCAAGACTAAAAGCAGTACTGCAGTAGGAGGTTCCACGAGTGGGACGCCCACCCCCAGGTGCCAGGGCCGGGGGCAGGAGCTCCCCAGGGGCAAACCCGCAGAGAGCATCGCCTGACCGCGTGCAGCAGGTCACCAAGTCCGGCTGCTGCTCCGTCCCCTCACACTCCATCAGGACTCTGAACACTTTGCACCCTATAAGCAGAAAGGGAGTATTTAAAAGCCTTGGTTAAGAGCTTTTGGGTCCTCGGATAAAAGGTCACCGAGTGCAAAGTATTATTATTATTACTTCCATAATGTGGATCTGTTATGTTCCATAATTGTATTTTAAAAAGATACCACTGAGTAAGTCATATCTAGAGTCTGAACACATTGCAGCTCTGAAGTCTTTAGAAGCTGCTTTGATAATGGCCATCTGGTGAAGTTTCCAACTTTATAGGGCTTAAGTCTATGGCTACTGTGATTACATGAAGTTTTACTCCACCCAGGAGCCATATAATGGTGCTCTGTGTATCTGGAATGATGTATTAATAGTATCAGATTCTATTTTTATTACCAGGGCTAGGGCTTTACGATACGGTTGAATATTGGTTTGCATGAAAATTAAGCTCTCTTCCTTTTGGTGAAGAATTATACCATCTTTCTCATCACCACCAGGAAAATACTCGAGAAGCCAGAATGGATCAATATAACACATTATAATTAGCAGCAAACACTGAAACAAAAAAATCTATTCTTATACTGCAGACAGCATGTATTTTCTGTGCGGGTTACAGATCACACAGACCTAACATACAACCAACAGAATCTGAATGGTAGGAAAATCTATCCTTAAACAGGAGACAAAACAGCAAAAGGTAAAAACCATATGTGTTCCCAGCTAAGCCATAATACATTTTCCATTTTATTGATCCTAGTGTAGAAACAAAAGTACTTTTGTTTCACTGGTGATGCCTGTGACTTAAAAGACTGGATCAATTATCTGAAAATAATACTACTAAAAAAACCCACCAACACCAGTTCCCTACCAGACAACCAGCAGTAAAAGTGCCCCTCACCCCAATAGAGGCCATGGGAAAAATTTGCTACATTAACCTGGAACCACAGTGAAGTTGAGGGGGCTTTGCAAAGGATCAGAATCCACACAGTGTGTTTTGTTTCTTGTGAGCACTGGGACTGAAGCTTAAATATTAGCCTAACCTAGACGAGCCTTCAGAAAGCTGACCAACTACTGCAGTTTTGGAGTATATATGTCTCACCATACATGAACTTATTCGCTTTGGCTTTGGTGTTTTCTAAAGCTTAGAAGGTAAGAATGAAGGAAACACAGAGTTATCTCTGACTTGTAATTAAAATGATGAACAACGTTCTGAATGTGTCTTTTCTCCTTTGTAAAACTGCCAGTATGTCAGAAAAGTCCTGCTCTGCTATTCACATGCATACTTACTGTGAAGTACAGGACCTATCTCAAACAATGAAGTGCTCAGTGACTGCATCTTTTTGTGACAGAGATTGCCAGAGTACTACAAGTTGAAGAAAAACATAACAAAAAAATACTTCTGTATTTCCAAGTATGACAGAAGTGATCCTGAAGTCCTATTCCTTATTCAATAGCAACAGTGCAGTGATCTTGTCGGTTGGTTCTCAAAAAGTAAGAAAATAAAATCAAACTAGCAGTAGGGTTAGTTCTGTTGAAAAGGCATTCGTAAAACAGCGGTTTGGGGTTGTGGCGTGCTGAAAAGGGAATACAGCTATTCTTCAGGGTTTGCATGGATTCTGAAAATGAAAAACTCAAGTATATGACAGGTACGCAAACAAACCCAGCTGGAGTATGAGAAGAGCAGGCAGAGAGAGAAACTAAAATTCTGCAATTCTGTGATGGTTGACAGTCCTGCCTTTCACTGAACAGTTATGGCAGCAGTGACAAGCATTCCAGGCACTGTAGGACTTTCAGAGCCTCTATTTGAAGTTCTAGGTATACGCACTTTATTTAACTGTTGTGGTTTAGGCCTGGTTGGCAGCCAACCACAATGCAGCAGCTCTCTCTCCCTTCCCCTCCGGCAATGGGAAGGGACAGAGAGCCAGGCTTGGGGTTCGAGATAGGACTGGGATGGGGAAATATCCCCCTTTTATGATCATGAGCAAAAGGCAGACTCGTTAGGGGAAGAAAAAAAGAACATACATTTATTACAGACACTAACAACACATAACAGAGTAGGACAGTGAGAAGCATTGCCACATCTTGAGAACACCTTCCCCCCACCCCTCCCTTCTTCCCAGGCTCAGCTCTGCTCCCGATATCTCTCCCTCCTCCCCCAGTGGCGCAGGGGCAGGGAATGGGGGGTGCAGGCAGTGCTGCCACTTCCTTCATCTTCGGTGAGGGGAGTGTCCGAAACTTGTTCCTCCTGCTCCATCAGTGGTCCCCCTCTCACAGCAGACAGTCCTCCACAAACTTTCTCTGACATGAGTCCCTCCCATGGGCCGCAGCGTTCCCCACACTGCTCCGTCATGGGTCACTAAATTCCTCCGACTGGATTCCCTCCCACGGCTGCAGCCCTTCCCGAGCTGCTCCGGCGTGGGACTCCCCCGCATGCTGCAATCCTCCCAGCACTGAATTACAGCAGCGGGGCTGCCTTTTCCCATGAGACCCCGGCCTTCTTCAGGCACAGAACCTTGATTATTCCGAGCAGGAGCAAGAGGCCACAAATCAATGTCTGCTCCACCACTAGATCTCCATGGGTGGCAGGGGGGGGCCGCCCTGCCAGTCTCCCCACAGGATACAGGGGGGTCTCTGCTCTGGCACACCTCCCCCCTCCTTTCTTCCTCCAGTTCCTCCACTGACCTTGGTGTTCATGCAGCTGCAGCAACTCCTCCTCACAAGTCCCACTGCCCGTCACCACGTCCCTTCTTAAACACGTTATCGCAGAGGCGCAGCCTGATTGGCTCAATTTCCCAAACAGAAGTGGAGCTGACGTGGAGCTGGGGGAGCTTCGAGAAACTTCTCACAGGGGGCCGCCCTGTTAGCCCCTGCCACCAAAAAACTCCACCACTCACTCAACCCAGGACATTAACAAAACCACAAAGGTGCTAAGTCCAACAAAAACCTCAAGGCCCTTTTCATCCTAAAGCTATCATCTCAGTTAAAAAAAAAATACCACAACACAAAAATCACAAACTAACAAAACAATCCATTCCTTCCCTGCAATCACTGCTCCTCTTGCTCTGCCAAGCACTTAAGAAAATGGATGTGCCATGAGAGTACCTACACGGCTCTTGGTCATTCTAGAACCTAAGACAAAGTGAATACCAAAGCACAGGACATTTCTATATTCCCACACTACAGACAGGAGAGGCCATTCATTTTTCAACTATGATTTCCTGTATAACACAGGCTACAGAATTATGCTGTTACTGCTAATCAGCCCAGCAGGTAGCATTTGACTAATACATTGTACTTCAGCTGAAACGTCAATGCTTCACTTAAATGTCCTGGCACCAGCCCTTTTACACAATTTGTTTTCACACAGTGTCATTCATTTCCTGAAAAAAGGATATAAAATCCTAAGTAACTACAAAGAATAGCTTAGATCATTGCACGCACAGTGCAGAGAGCACTGCCCTCTCTTAGGCTATCTATAACCTGACTTAAACATCTTGAACAGCATCTTTAAAGGCTATCTTAGAAAGAGCTGAAGATCTAAGGGTGGAATTCAGTCATCTTTAAATGACACACTTACATTAGCATGTCTTGAAAGAGTTTTAGGAATCACCAGCAAACAGCAGGGCAGTTAAAAGGAAAAGGGAAGCGTAAAGACGTTGTGCTGGCAATTCAGGGTTGCATTTCTTCCTTCTCCCCTAAGCTGTAATTTGGAGGGTGCAGGAGCCAAGGGGAGCCGAGGCTGCCACCACAGCAGAATGAAGTTGCTCAGGTTCCTGCTGCCACTCTCGCAGAGGCTACTGAAATGGACAGCTCAAACCACAACAGCAGCCTTGCTGAACACTATCTTTCTGTGAAAATTGGTCCAGATGACATTCCTCTTTCTGGTATGGATGGGCTAAATACAAATATTTTCACTATGAGATTGAGGAGTACGTATTTAAGGAGAGGGGTGAAAGGACACAGGAGGCTGGGAACTGCCTGGGGTGAGTCAAAAGAGTGCAATATCTACCTTTGTTATGTCAGCTTCGCCAGGACAGCTAAGAGCTAAGTCCGAGGCTCAAACTGACAGCAAAGGGTGTCCATTCTTTTCAAAACTGTGCTCATTATCTCCGATAAGAAATCCTCTCCCCAGGGTATGGGTAAAGGCTCTGGGCAGACAACTCAAAGGACTTTCCTCCACAGGAGCCCAGTTTCAGCCAGACAACTTGCAAACAAACACGCTTAAATCTCAGAGAGGTGGGTAGGTGAGAGGGAACACATTTACTGACAACAGCCGGCAGTACTGAATGAACTGCGAAAAAAATCTCCCCTG